TTTAAAATCAATGTTACCGACAGGAAAGGACATTGGTCACATATTTGTCATACGCCTGAGCATCTAACAAAACTTTATCAGGCATCCATATAAAGAAGTTCAAATAATGTGGAAGTAAATTTGACCTTTCAAATTGATGATGTGGAGGTAAATTTTGTATACAAAAATGATTATGTCAATAAGCTAAATGATGTTAATGGCCTTGAACTATGACACATTTAGATGTGGCTGATTTCTCTAAGAATCATGATTATAAGAGTTTGGATAATTTTAGTTTGCTTTATTTATGCTTTACTTACGTTTATTACCTTCTCTTTTTAAGAGCATTATTAATCATGATGTACTTTGAATTTATGTCAATGAATGTTTTTTTGTGTGTGAAGAATATAGATGTTTCTCTTCCTTTTGTTGGGCACAAGAATAAAGATATATATATATATATATATATATCTCATAGATAGTGCTACAACACACACCATACTCAAAGATAGAAAATATTTTTCTTATCTTACGATAAATAGTGCAAGCATCAATATTATAGCGGGTGATACAAAACTAATTAAAGGTTCTAGAAGAGGAATTATAATATTACCTAGAGGAACAAAATTTGTTATTAGTTATGCTTTATATTCCTTTAAGTCTCAAAGGAATTTATTAAGTTTTAAAGATATCCACGAAATGAATATCATATTAAGACTATAAATGAGAAAAACATTGAATATCTACATGTTACCATGGTAAGAAATGGAGAAAAATGTGTCATGAAAAAATTACCGACATTATCTTCTGAGTTGTACTATACAAATATTAGTACAATATAAATAAATGCCACAGTAAACTAGAAGTTTATTGATAAAGATACATTTATTTTTTGGCATGATCGGTTGGGTCATCCCAGATCAACTATAATATGAAGAATTATTAAAAATTCACATGGATACCCATTGAAGAGCCAGAAGATTATTCAATTTAAAGATTTTTCATGTGCTATTTGTTCTCAAGGAAAATAAATTATAAGGCCTTCATTGACAAAAGTAGAAGTTGAATCTCCTGTATTTCTAGAGTGTATCTAAGGAGATATATGTAGACCTGTCCATCCATCATGCAGACCATTCAAATATTTTATGGTTTTAATAGATGCATTTACAAGATGTTCCCATATATGTTTGTTATCAACATGTAATTTAGCACTTGCTAGATTACTTGCTCAAATAATTCGACTAAAAGTATAGTTTCCAGACCATACAATTAAGACAAGTCGTCTTGATAATGCTAGTGAGTTTTCATTTCAAGTTTTTAATAATTATTGCATGGCAACTAGAATAACAGTAGAAAAATCTATTGCTTATGTCCACACTCAAAATGGCCTAATAGAATCACTTATTAAACGCCTCCAATTGATTGCTAGACCAATACTTTTGAGATTAAAACTTCCCATTTCAGTTTGGGGACATACAATTTTACATGCAGCAGTAATTGTATGTATAAGGCCAACAATTTATCATGAATTCTTCTAGTTACAATTGACTTTTGGTCGAGAGGCAAATATTTCTCATCTTAAAATTTTTTGATGTGTGGTATTTGTCCCTATTACTCCACCACAACGCACAAAGATGGTACCTCAAAGAAGGTTAGGGATATATGTTAGCTATGAATCTCCTTCTATAATTAAGTATTCAGAACTATTAACAGGAGATTTGTTTACATCACATTTTGATGATTATCATTTTGATGAGACAATTTTTCCAATATTAGGGAGAGATAATAAGCAGCTGGATAAAGAAATCACATAAAAAGCATTATCATTATTTCATCTAGATCCTCGTACACAACAATGTGAACTTAAGTTCAAAGAATAATTCATTTGCAAAACATTATAAATCAATTGACAAATGCACTTACTCATCCTAAGAAAATTATTAAATCTGATATTTCAGTTGAAAATGCTCTGATTAGAATTGATATCCTAGCAGGACAATTAGAAAACACAAGTGAAACCAAATGATGCTTGAAGTGGGCAGACCACTCAGTTCCAAAGATAAAACTCCTAGAAAGAAAAAAGGAGCAAATATTCATAATGGTTATGATAGTCAAATTGATGAGGCAAGTCCTATAGGAGAGGACCAAAACATAACTAATCAAAAGGCCTAAGAAGAGGCCCAGGTACCTGAAAATAATGAAGAGATCTCGATAAGTTATGTTGCCGCAGGAAAAAAGATGGAACCGAGAGAATACAGTCATCGATAACATTTTTTCATATAATGTTGATGTTGAAATAATTAAGCAACATGAGGATCTTAAACCTACATCAGTTGAAAAATGTAGACATAGAGATGATTGGCCAAAATGGAAAGATGCAATTCAAGCAGAGTTAAATTTACTTTCAAAACGTGAAGCTTTTGGACCTATAGTCCACATACCAAATGGTGTAAAACCAGTTGGGTACAGATGGGTCTTTGTGCGCAAATGAAACAAGAAAAATGAGATTATTAGATATAAAACACGGCTTGCAGTACAAGGGTTTTTACAAAGACCTGGTATTGATTATGAAGATACATATTCTCCTGTAGTGGCTATAATTACTTTAAGATATATAATTAGTTTGGCAGTCTATAGAAAACTTGAAATGCGTCTAATGGATGTTGTTACGGCATATTTGTATGGTTCTTTAAATACTGAGATTTATATGAAAATCTCTAAAGGATTTAAATTGCCAGAAACATGTAAGAATTCTCGAGAAAATTATGCAATTCGTTTGCATAAATCCTTATACAGATTAAAACAATATGGAAGAATGTGGTATAACCGAATTAGTGAATATTTGTTGAGAGAAGGCTATAAAAATGATCCAATTTGCCCATATGTTTTTATAAAAAGAAATGGATAAGAGTTTGCTATAATTATTGTCTATATGGATTATTTAAATATAATTAAAACTCCCAAAGAGCTTCAAAAAGCAGTTGATTGTCTAAAAAAAGAATTTGAAATGAAAGATTTTGGAAGAACAAAGTTTTGCCTCGGCTTGCAAATTGAGCACTTAGCAAATTGAATTTTCCTCCATCAATCGACTTATACTAAAAAGGTACTAAAGCGATTTTATATAGATCAGGCCTATCCATTATCTACTCCTATGATTGTAAGATCACTTGATAAGCATAATAACTTCTTGGTCCTGAAGTATCATATCTTAGTGCCATAGGTACATTAATATATCTTGCTAATTCAACACGACCTGATATTGCATTTACTGTTAGTTTATTGGCAAGATTTAATTCTTCCCCAATAAGAAGGCATTGGAATGAAATTAAGCATATATTTTGATATCTCCGAGGGACAATTGATATGGGATTATTTTACTTTAATGAATCAGAATCACAATTACTTGGCTATGCAGATGCAAGATTTCTATCAGATCCACATAAAAGCAAGTCTCAAACAGGATATTTATTTATTTGTGGACGTACAACGATCTCATGACGTTCAATAAAACAAACTTTATCAGTTACCTCATCAAATCATGTGGAAATAAATGTAATTTATGAGGCAAATCGAAAATATGTTTGGCTGAGGTCAGTGACTCAATATATTCAAAAAATGTGTGGTTTTTCCCTTGAATAGAAGATTCCAACAGTATTATATGAAGATAGTATAGTATGTATAGCTCAAATAAAAGGAGGATATATTAAAGGAGATAGAATAAAGCATATTTCTCCAAAGTTCTTTTTCACTCACGATCTTTTGAAAAGTGGTGATATAGATTTTCAACAAATTCGCTCATGTGACAACTTTGCTGATTTGTTTACCAAGACACTGCTGACTAGAACATTTGAGAAGTTAATGTATGGTATTGGAATGTGTTGACTTAAAGATTTAAAATGATATTATCATTAGGAGGAGTAAATATTGTATACTCTTTTTTCTGCACTAGGTTTTTGTACCAATGGGTATTTCCTAGTAAGGTTTTAATAAGGCATAATACTCGTTATGGACTTCCAATGGGGAGTATTATAAATATTGCATGAGTGGATGCCCATAACCCCTAACCCTTAGAATTCTCATAGGATTCTTTACCTTCAAATGTCATAAACCACATAACCTTCCTAATGAATGACTTGGGAGAAGTTTCTCATTATTAATGCCATTATGATATTCTTTATTGCTTTGTAATCTTAGTATAGGACTTAATGTTTGGAGGCTTATAAAGAGAGGGCATGCATAAGGTATTTTTACCATGAAACAAAGTGAATAAGAAAAAGATCATTGTCTTCTCTATTTCTTGTTTTCTCTTCTACTCTCTAGTATTCTTATTTCTTGTAGTTTTGCAGCATACTAATAATTTTTGAGTAGCAAATATTGCACAAATATACAATGTATAATTTTATCTTAATTTATCATTTGTAAACTATTAGTATTTCTTAAAAAAGTAACATGTCCGTTAAATAAGAATAAAATTAAAAAAATGATAAAAAAATTAGAAATTACTAAATCCCAAATCAGGTTGGGTAACAACATTTTATTTAGTGTTAACAACACTAAATTTATAAATAACAAAATTTTTTTATTGACATTTAGTTTTTTTTTTGTCATTTTCCCGCTACTAAATTTTTGTAATATAAAGTTAATGAAATTAAAATTTTTCTCCATTTAAGTAAAATATAAGTGCCACGACAATTTGGGTTGATGAATTTATTTTAAATTATTTCAAATAAATGTTTTAATTTTATTTATACTAAATGAGATTATGAAAGGAGAAAAAAAAATGTCATGAACCATATTCAAGTATCGATAATAATTGTGGGGAATAAAATTTACAAAAAAATGAGATTTTATGTTTTTTTGGGAGTGAGAAATGAGATTTTATTCAAAGTAAAATAAAGAGATAAATGAATGCAAGAACTGGGAAGTTAAGGGAGGAAACAATTTTCACCCGCCTTCGAATCGGTTTCACTGAATCTGGTTATAAGCTGCATTAACTCCAAATAAATGCACACAATGTTCTAGGCAGAACAGAATCCTTTATTTTCGTTCAGCTTGCTGCTGAATTTGAGCCTCTTTTCCTCCTCCTGGGTCATCTCCTCCGTTACCGACCATAGCTAGGGTTTCATTTGGGAAGAAATCTGCGATTGAGCTTTCTCCTTCGTTAAGGAAAGGGGTTTTGTTGTTATTTACTTGCTGTATGTATGCCTGTTATTGTAGCTTCTCCATGATCTCGCTCTTCTGATCTGTGTTGTTATCTGCTGCTTGAATTTCCCAGTCCTGTTGTGAGTGATGGGTTCACATTATTTGTTTGTTGATGGTTTATATGAGAAGAAGTGGGGTTGAACGGTGGTGTGGTTGAGATTGAATTTTTCGGCCGTGGTTCTTCCATGGGCGGGCGTATTTGGGGGTGAAATTTATCCTGTATGCTGATTACTATGGTTTCGTTTTTATTTTCTGATTCTTTTCTTGGTAAAGTTTATGTACTTCTTCAATTTGTAAATATTTCGCTCGTGTATTGCAGTTTTTAATACCTGGGATTAAGCTTGCCAACATGTCGATGTGTGAGCGCAAGACGATCGACCTAGAACAAGGATGGGATTTTATGCAGAATGGCATCACAAAGCTGAAGAATATTCTTGAAGGGTTGCCCGAGCCTCAGTTTAGTTCCGAGGACTATATGATGTTATATACGTATCCGTCGCTAAGCAGTTTCATTGTTCACATGTTTAGTCTATAATTTATTTTTATTTTTCATTTTTTTTTGTTTGATCACTTTGGCTTGAGTTGATCGCATATTTTCGTTAGGCACTGCATTTCCTTAAATCGTGTTGCAGGACTATCTACAATATGTGCACTCAAAAGCCTCCTCATGATTATTCCCAGCAACTGTATGACAAGTACAGGGAATCGTTTGAAGAATACATTCTATCAACGGTAACTCTATTGTCTGGATATCTTTTGGATAAACTTGCACGTTATGTACTGTCTTTTTTTTTGGGGGTGGGGGGTATGTTACAGTCTTAAGTTTTGCCTCTTACGTGCCTAGCCTCATGACATCGAATGTGACATCGTTTATTCCATAGCAATGAATTTGGTAAAGGCTGCATAATCACGACTTAATTGGCTAATTGACGTACTTCTGTTTTAGAATGCATATTATGTTGTTCTTTAAAGGCATCCTAGAAGATGCAAAACAAGTAACTAATGGGGTCTGATATTGATTATATCAAAGTTATCTATGGAGCTTCCCATGCGTATTGTAGCGACATCAGCTCCTAAATGGCACAGGGTGCATCACAGTTACACTCAATAATGCTGAGCAGGTGTTAAATATTCAAATTTTTTATTTGATTCTCAGTTTACAACAATACACTAATGAAACAGATTATATATATATATATATATATATATATGTTTGCATGTTTGAAGGGCTAAAATCATATCCAAATCACAATCTCAATTCCTAATCTGATAAGCGTTTGGACTCAAATGTTATGTAAAACACTATGCCAAACATTTACTTTATCTTCAGTCTATGAATTAAAAAAAACTGATTGTCAAAGAGAGACTGCATACAATAAGAAATTATGGATCTCAGTCAGCAAGCTGTTGCTAGCCTTGGGTTGTGCCAATGACAGACAAAAATAACTATTTGGCTAACAGCAACGTCAAGCTTTCTTGAAATGTGCTTGAAAGGGGTAGGAAGTGCTGATATTTATGGTTAGGTAGAGCAGAAGGCTACACATGTACCATTTGTATCTATGTGCATTAAGATCCTGATTCACGGACCTCTTGGTTTGAGAAATAAAAATAAGAGGATTGAACATTTCTTTTGACTCTTTTTCAAATTTGATAAATGTTGGTTGATCGTATGTACCTACTATCATCGGAATTTGAATATCATTATTTTTTTCCAATTTTGTGCATGTTGTGATGGCACATGTTGGCTGTGGAACTTGCTGTAACTGTGCTGAATGAAATTGAAAGTTGCTAACCCACTGCTGTGTAATTGAATTAATAAGCTAAGACATTACCCGACTATTTTCTATGCACTAAGCAGCAAACCTTGAAGTGGAGGTTTCTGGTTGGGATGAGCTGCCATCGAGTAGACCCTGGAAGATAGTTCTCATCGTCGAGTTTGTAAGGTGTAATGAGATTGATTTTGTCGTTGGATACTATTGGGCCAGCCATGAATGAAGACTGGTTGGCACTTGAATTAATGCTGGCTTGGAGTGCGCCATATTTGCCAAATTGAACAGGAGTGTTAGCCATTAAAATTCAAGGATGAATATCGCAAGTTTAGTGAATTGATCACGTGTGATAATGTGACTTGAAGGGGGAAAAAAAAGGACAGAGATCGCACTATTTTGTGCGAATGAAGGCAAGAAAAACACAATATTTTGTGCGACATAGATGGCCCACATAAATTTACTAAGTTCATGGTACCAAGAAGAAAATAGAGAGGGAGAATAAAGAAGAAATTGGTTGAGTAATTGATGCTCAGCTTCAAAGCTTTATTGATTTATTTGCTTGATAGATATGGTAAAAATAAAGGATAAAGCCTTAGGATAAAACCTAATATCTTAAAATTGAAATTTAGATCAGGATAGAAACATATCCTATCTAATCTATCTAATTCATTCTAATCTAAATAATACATGAAATAATTAATAAAGAACTGACTAATTGGGCCCTCCTAAGTGGGCTTAGGCCTCATCTTTCAACATAAAAGAATTACTAGCTGAACATTTTCTTATTTCCCATAAAGATCTAATATGAAAAGTAGTAAATGATCCTCGTTGTGGGCCATCTATGTCGCCCAAAATATTGTGTTTTATATCACTATGACTGCCTTTTCCTAATATTGTCAGATCCATATATGTATATGTGAGAATGAGGCTCAGAAGTCATATGAATCTCAAATTTAAACATCATTAGAAGCAGTATTTATGTCATAATGAGGCACAGAAGTAATATGACTGAAGCACACAATACTTTTATGTATTTTAAAATCGTTAGCTAAATCTCAAATTTTGTGATGGGTTTTTTTGGGGTCATGTCTAGTTTATTTTACAGTTTAACTATAATGCCATTAGCATTTTTTTAAAATTATATTATTTTTTGTATTTATCAGTTGCTACTATTTTCTTTCCAACATTTCTTCTAATAAAATTCAATCTTTGTATCATTTAGGTATTACCTTCTTTGAGAGAGAAGCATGATGAATTTATGTTGAGAGAGCTCGTGAGAAGGTGGGCAAACCATAAGATTATGGTTAGGTGGCTTTCTCGCTTCTTTCACTATTTAGATCGCTACTTTATTGCTCGGAGATCACTTCCACCTCTTAATGAAGTTGGATTGAGTTGCTTCCGGGATTTGGTAATGTAACAACTGAATCTTCTGTGGGGTTATGTTATTCTTTCTGCTAGGACGCTAGTACCGAAGGTAGCTTTCTTGCAAATCAATTTTATGTGCTTCTCTATGTACAGGTGTACAAGGAACTAAATGGTAAAGTGAGGGATGCTGTTATCTCTCTTGTAAGTTTTTTTGTTTTAGTGAGATCTTCATTAACTGCAAATTTATATGAATTAATCGAAATTTTTTCCAAAGATTGATCAAGAACGGGAGGGAGAACAAATTGATCGAGCTTTATTGAAAAATGTGCTAGATATATTTGTTGAAATTGGAATGGGACAAATGGGTTGCTATGAGAATGATTTTGAAGCTGACATGCTCAAAGACACCTCTGCATATTATTCTCGAAAGGCTTCCAACTGGATACTTGAAGATTCTTGTCCTGATTATATGCTCAAGGTTTGTTTTCTCTGTTGTTCTCACTGTAGCTTGTTCACTTCATTTACATTACTGGATATCATTTGCTCTGGTGCTCACAGGCTGAGGAGTGCTTAAGGCGTGAAAAAGATAGGGTTGCTCATTACTTGCATTCTAGTAGCGAGCCGAGATTACTTGAGGTTTGTTATTGACTATCAGGTCTACTACTATGTTGAATAGGTCATATCTTGCTAGGCAACTCCAAAACAAAGTTTGTTATAGACTATGATTAAGTTTTGTGGCTCGTGTTCAAAGTTTCTTAACAATTTTGATGTTTTTGTTCTTCTTGTGGAAAATCACTTCTAGAAAGTTCAACATGAACTATTAACTGTGTATGCAACCCAACTCCTTGAAAAAGAGCACTCTGGATGTCACGCATTACTTAGAGACGACAAGGTATTTGGTAGACCCTTTTTTAAAAAAAAAAAAATAAACTTGTGATGCCTACAATTGTTATATGTTTAACTCTTTCTTTAAATGCTTAGATTGAAGACTTATCACGGATGTTCCGGCTCTGTTCTAAAATACCTCGCGGGTTGGATCCTGTTGCTGGTATATTTAAGCAGGTTGATACTGTTGAACTTATCTTTCTGCATTTCCTCCCAGTTTTGTATGCCAATAAGGAGTCTGATCATGTTGGTTTGTTTATATGATGTTCTCTTTCCTTCCACGTTGTAGCATGTTACTACTGAAGGAATGGTGTTGGTGAAGCAGGCCGAAGATGCAGCTAGTAACAAAAAGGTCTGATATCTGGTCTACAGTTTATACATCTATATTTGGAGATTATTAAATGAAAACTTATACTTGGGCATGCATTACCTTCCGTGTTTTCTGAGCTAATCGCTATCATGTGTACTACGTCAGAATTATCATGCAGCGATATACAAGTTCAGGGGAAAAGAAATTTTTTTGTTTTTGTTTCTAAATGTTTCACGAGCATGCTTATGATGTTAATCAAAGGTTATATGAGGTACAAGTAAGAGTATTACCAGTTCTAAAATTCTAACTTCAGTGTAAATGATTAGTTCATTTGGTTTAAATCGAACTGCACTTCAATTGCTTTTGCCTTAGATCTGTACTGTTAATTTGTTCCAGCGAAATACTTGTATCATTAAGTTCTAAAAAGGCTTCAAACGGCCACATAGGCGACCGATAGCTTCAAACTGTCTCTTCTTTCTGAAAATTTTGTGCAAAATGATGGCATTTTGAGGCAATTTATTTTTATTCCTAACCTTTCTTCTTTATGTTTCTAATTAATATTCCTACAGGCAGAGAAAAGGGATGTTGTCGGCATGCAGGAACAGGTAACAGCTGAAACTTCCTTAGTTCCAAGGCACAGTAATTTTTTCATGTGAGGGAACTGAAATTGGTTTCTTTCTTCAGTTTTTTGTTCGGAAGGTGATTGAGCTGCATGACAAGTACCTGGCATATGTGAATGGCTGTTTTCAGAATCATACACTTTTCCATAAGGTTTTGATCTGACTTTGAAATTGTCGTGTAGGATAATTATATTGTTAAATAACTTGAAATTTTTTATCTTTCAGGCGCATAAGGAGGCTTTTGAGGTCTTCTGCAACAAGGGTGTTGCTGGAAGCTCAAGCGCAGAACTGCTTGCAACCTTCTGTGACAATATTCTTAAGAAAGGAGGAAGTGAAAAATTGAGTGATGAAGCAATTGAAGAAACTCTTGAAAAGGTCTGCATTATTGTAAATGTACTGCATGCATCTGTAAAATAGATTCTTGACTTGGGTTTGTTTTTTTGGCTGGTCTGTGTGCAGGTGGTCAAGCTGCTCGCCTATATTAATGACAAGGACATGTTTGCTGAATTCTATAGGTAAATTAAAGGAGAAAGGAAAATTTCGTTGATGATTAAGTTTAATTATTGCTGCTCTGGGGGGTTCTATCTTTCCATAACTTTATCTGTTCATTTCTCTATTAAAGCAGACAAGTTGTCCTAATAGGTTTATCAGTCATTAGCAACTGTGTTTACAGATTCATTTCCAAGAACCAAATTCAGGGTTGCCACTAAGTTTTTTCTTTTCATTTATTTTAAACAGAACTAGAAGTAGCAAGTGTTAGCACTCTCATACACTGCCGCATAACTAGCTAGAAGTTTATTATTGAAGACCCCTTAAAAGGTGAGGTGGATGTAGGGGGTGTTTGGCAACCTCTAAACCATGGTTTTAGAAGCACTTTTCAGCAAAACGAGGCAAACTCCTCCACATATTTACTTCTTAAACTGTAAAAGCACTTCTGAAACCATGGTTTGGTTTCTATCCAAACACCCCCGTAGTTACAATATTAGGAAAACTATAATAGAAATACAGTGGTATAAAACAAAGAAAGTGGAGAGAAATTGGAGTATGTGGATGTGCATTATTATCATGTTGTTGTTATATTCTTATGACTGATAGTCCTATACTCATTATCTAATCTCACAAGACATTTCAATTAGAAAAGGGCCATGGACTTTGTGGGACAAAAAAGTGGAGGGTAGTGGAGGGTTTCCCTCTTGCTCACTATTGATATTAGGGATGAAGAAGCCCAAAACTATATATTCCTTTGTGTCTTGCCGATGCTGCAGATATGGCAGAGGCGGCAACAGATCTGCTGCTCAATCCCATGAATTAGGGTTGAATAACTGGGAAGAATAAGAACAGAATGATGTTGAACATTAAATCCCTTAATAGTCAGGAAAGAACGTTCAACAAATAAACGGCATTGGAAGGAAAAGATAATGACATTGTAACGGGCCCTAAATGGGCTGAATTAGGTTGGCAATGGGAGATATCGTTGGCCAAAAAAAAAAAACTATAATAGGGATACCAAAATGATCCTTTTGTGGTCTTGGCGAAATCATTATGTTTCATCATGATATTAATACCAGGAGTTTAACCTTAATGGTCAATATAGTCTTCTGCAAATTTTGAAATGTGCATTTTTACCCAAAATCAAATTTTTAGCATATCACCAATTGCCATTGTTGTGACTGTATCGCAAGGCTACTCAAAAACAATCTCGTGTTTCTATCAGATGCTTTGAAAGAGTAATACTCATACAATGGCTTGCTTGATTGCCTGCAGGAAGAAGCTGGCTCGGAGGCTCCTCTTTGACAAGAGTGCCAATGATGAACATGAGAGAAGTATTTTGACAAAATTGAAGCAACAATGTGGCGGACAGTTTACTTCAAAGATGGAAGGAATGGTAAGTTTCCCTTAAAACTCATGAATTGATTTGATATGTGGCATTCAGGTACCATGTTTGGATATTTAAAGAGAATATTTAAACAATTGTTGCTCCCACCAGGTTACAGATTTGACTCTGGCGAAGGAAAACCAATCTAGTTTTGAAGAGTATCTCAACGAAAATTCGAATGCAGACCCAGGAATGGACCTGACAGTCACAGTTCTGACTACTGGATTCTGGCCAAGTTATAAATCTTTTGATCTCAACCTTCCAGCGGAAATGGTATATCTGAATCTTTTGGCCAAGTGCTCAATACTAATTAACCAGCATTTGGTCGATTTTGGTTGCACATTAATGTCTCTTCCTCTTGCTCCATTTTTGATAGGTCAAGTGCGTTGAAGTTTTCAAGGAGTTTTATCAAACAAAAACGAAGCACAGAAAATTGACGTGGATTTACTCCTTGGGCACCTGCAACATAACTGGAAAATTTGATACAAAACCTGTGGAGCTGGTTGTGACAACCTATCAGGTTATAATCTTATCACATGCTTCTTTCCTATAAAAGTATGACTTGTATGTGTTCCCTTCCATTTGACATATTTGGGCGTCCGGTGATTCCTGTATAGGTTTCTTTATGCTGATTCAATGTTTTTTCTCGTTTTTTCAACAGGCTGCTGCATTGCTTCTCTTTAATTCGTCAGATAAATTGAGTTATTCAGAGATATTGACTCAGTTGAACTTGACCGATGATGATGTTATTAGACTGCTTCACTCCTTATCATGTGCCAAGTACAAGATTCTTAACAAGGAGCCAAGCACCAAAACAATATCATCCACTGATGTTTTTGAATTTAATTCAAAATTCACCGACAAAATGAGGAGGATTAAGGTACTGGTATTTTAAAAGCTATTGTGGTTAAATTTATCTATCTCTCTATGTGTACCTGTCTCTGTATCCCTCTCAAACTCATGCGCTTCCTTCAGTCATCTAAATCTCTATTCGACTGACTACACTGGGATTGTGGCATTTTGTCTCGCAGATTCCTCTTCCTCCTGTAGATGAGAAGAAAAAAGTAATTGATGATGTTGACAAGGACAGAAGATATGCTATTGATGCATCAATTGTGCGTATTATGAAGAGTCGAAAAGCTTTGGGTTACCAACAGTTAGTAATGGAGTGTGTTGAGCAGTTAGGGCGCATGTTCATGGTCTATATTCCACCACTTGGTTTATTTCCTGCTTGCCTGCCTGTCTTATTCCCTATCTAATGATGTGTTTGGAATGTAATTATGCAGCCCGATGTCAAGGCAATTAAGAAAAGGATTGAAGATTTGATCTCTCGTGACTACTTGGAAAGAGACAAAGATAATCTTAATCTGTTCAAGTACTTGGCTTGAAGCAGCGTTGATGAATGTGCAAATGAAGGGGGTCAGTGGCTGCTGCAATGGAAACGAGAGGATGATGTCTAAACTTGTAAAAATTGAGCGCCTCTTAGTAATAGCCCTGAAGAGGGACTACGAGTGTTAATACATGTTGCCTCCATATCCAGGTATGGGCTATTACTATAGATGTATGCTCAACATTCGAGAAATTGTAATTTATTCCATAATTTGATCCAGCGCACTGGTCTCGTCATCTTTTTGCCCCGCCCCCTGCATTTCCGGCTTGCTACTTAGTTCAAAGTGAAAACCCATCCATTAATATCCCCACCGCAAAAGAAAATAGGCATTGTTATATCTTTTAGTTTCTGTGAAGTTGTGTTCTGATTCTCCTCTTAGGGGATGTTTGGATAAAAACCAAATCATGATTTCAAAAATGTTTTTACGGATTACGAAGTAAATATATGAAGGAGGTTATCCCGTTTTGTTGGAAAGTGCTTTTGAAACCGTGGTTTTGAGAATGCTAAACACCCCCTTAGAAGCTCATGGGTGAATGGGATGCCGTTTTCGATTCCAAATCCTGAAGTAAATAGTCTATACTTTTCCCTTGCAGTGGCGTCTTTGTATATTTTATGGGGGTCACATAGCCTAATTAAATGGATGAGAGTCTCACCAGTGCTCAAGGTTTTTCTAAAGATTGGAGCCATCTCTTTTTGGATGTCCGACAGGGGAATCAATATCTTTATTCGGTGGTATTATTATGGCGGGCAGCTTATCCTGAAAGATTCTCTACTTGCAGTTTCTTTAGTGGTGATTGCTTTCTATAAAGGAGATGGTTTTCCCCTTCTGGTTTGTATTCCAAAACCATCATTGTCTGATTTACAATAAAGTTGGATAAATTAAACTAAACATAAACTAATGATGTACCTTCATGTATGATTCACGATTTGTTTGGTTTTCTTGGGTATTGTTATAAAATCAAGTACTTAATAAATTTGAGTTGTTTGTCTGGTAATAAAATATGCTGAAGCTTTTAGCTGAATGCCGCCCCTTCCTTTTTATTGGTTGTCCTGAATTTCCATTGACAGTACGGTCTCCCCGCATCATCATGTTTCGATCTGTTAAAAAGTATCTCATTTGAAGCATTTGGGTGACTCTTCTGAGCACTGTGTCAATAGAATTATTCTCATGCTTTCATCCCCCAATCACACCTAGTATTCTAGTCTAGGGACCTTTTTGGAAGGAACTCGGTACTGAAAATTGGACAAATTGGGGTTAGACTGATTATGATTAAAATAATATTATCTAATTAAAATATGCAAAATATTCACATTAAAAAAATTTAAAAAAAAGTATTAAATTAAGGCATTTGTCAGGAAGCAGGTGAACATTCACCCGCAAAACACAAAATTTCAACGTCTTGTATAATATTAATTCAAAAAGCCTTGGACTTGGGATTATTTGGAAGATATATATTCATATTCAATTAGTAAAGTACTACCTCCGGTCCTTAATATAAGATCCTGTTTGATTTTTATTTTGGTCTTAAATATAAGATCCTAATCTATTTTCTCTCTCATATTTATATATATATTTTTTCTAAAGTAGGTATTCTAACAATGATAGTTCTAGTCAATACACTTGATTAGCAATGATATTTTAGGAAAGACAACACCTATTTAGGACAAATAACTAACTCAACTTACTTTTTTAATGTTTTCAAATTAGTCAACTGGCTCTTATAATTAGGATCGGAGGTAGTAATTTATATTTGCAAGCTGCAATCTTATGTTACCACAAATTTGTCATAAATTTAGCACACTACGGAAAATGCTATTGAATCAGCCCATATGATGAGGTTACTTTTGCTTGTTCAAATCCTGGTTCAACCACATCAAATTTTCGAACTAATTAAGAGATTGGATTAGAGCTACTTAGAATATTGATTATTTAAGCTGAGCGAGACAAGGTGACATTAGGTGGGACCCTTTAAGGATAGTGCCGAGAAAAACATTTCCTGTTTATGAATTTTAAAAATTAATTACAAGCTACATACCAGCTCTGAACAATATATTTGTTCTTCACATTTAATTTCATACAATGCATCAAGTCAGATTATTAATACGTTTTCAGGATAAAAATGAAGAAGCATTGGAGAAATTTAAAAAATTAATTTCCTGTTTGGTGGAGAAACAATATATTTATTCTTCATTTTTAATTTCCTGTTTATGAATTTTAAAATTTAATCACAAGTCTCATAGCTTTGATCTTAACCTTATGTATGACTTGAAATGGAAAATAAAGCTGAGATTAATAATGCTTCTTATGTAATTAATTAATTATATATAATAAACAAAGCAGCCATTATTATGGTTTGTCCTTTATATATATATATATATATATATATATCTATGTATATATATTGTAACCCAAACTTTCTTGTCAACCGTGAATTCACAATCATTGTCACCATTCCCACGTCATGCATTTTGCTAACCTTTACTTCCACCAACAACAGTATTGCTACAAAATAATAAAATAGTCAATCAATGTTATCCCTTTAAGCGCCAACCGGTTCAGTGAAAAAAACTAGTCACTCGCGACATCATGCACTAAAGTTTAAATTTCGATTAAAAGATATACTTATATTTAGTATATCTCGAATAGAATTGCTTTTAATATGAGTACCTGTGACTACCAATCATTATCACTTTAAAATATTAATTATGGTTGTTAAAAAAATAAAATATTAATTATGAATAATTTATTAATTCATTTTCGGATTTCACATAATAATGCATAAAATTAATGTCTAATTGAATGGAACGGTGATGTAGTATAAAATTATATTACCTCTTATTTTTAATCTAAAAGTTAGTTGGAAATTGAATTTGATTTTAAATATATGATCTAACATATTTTATCTTTCAAATTTATAATGTTTTCTTTGAAATATTCCTATTTATTGTAAAAGTTTCCCTTAAAAATAATTTCAATACACATAATTAAAGAGGGCAGTTTATATATTACAAAAATGTAAGATAGTTTAGGAAGATCAACATATATTTGTTACAATTAACCAATTTAACCAATTTTTTTAATCTTCTAATGTTAGTAATTTAACTCTTATATCAATGATCGGGAATAGTATTTAGTGTGGTTTCAACAAGGAATTATGATCTTCATAGTATCAAATTTCAGTATTTAAAAAAAAAAAATATTTCCCCCCTTCATTAGAGCTTTTTTTTTCCCATAAAAACAAAAGGCATGTGACAATATTTTATTCACAATGGCCATGGCTTTCAAGGAAGTAGTTCTTTAAAACGTCAACTTTGAAGATAATGTTTTGCTTTATTTTTAAGATGACAAGACAACATAGAGATAAGAGTTTATATTTGAAAGATATACTCCCCCAGTCTTACAGATAGAGTGTCTTCTAGAAAAATGTTTTTAATTCTTTTTGTAAAACATTTAACAATTTTAAGTAATACTAAACATTTACTAATAATTGTTTCCCCTAAAACCCCTCATTAAATGCTGATGCATATGTGTGTATATTTAATAGGAACTTAGTTGAAAACTTATTTTTGAGATAGAATTAATGACTGATAAATGAGACATAAGTGATATTTTATAATTCATATAAAGGACAATGAATCAATGATTTCTTGAGCTTAAACCCTAGCCTTTCAATATATAAAAAATAGACACAAGTGGGAAATGGGAAGTGATTAACGTGGTCCTGTTCTGTTTAGGTGCCACACAAATAAAAAGCAAAATAAAATGTGAACATAAGAAGAAATAAAGAAAGTGGTTCAATAATGAATGATGGAAGTTGAACAAACTAGACTTATTATTGCCCATTTGCCAAATGAATTATATTGAAGCAATATGTACGGCTATATTTGCTTACCCATCTCTTTGACCAAATCTAGAACCAATTTCTTTGCTCAGTTATAATAACACGGAAATATATTCATAAATATACAAAGAACTAAATGCAAACAATTAAAAGACAATAATACTACCTTCAATCCTAATTATAAGACCTCGTTTGTAGACTATAAATGAGGTCTTGTAATTAGAATTGAATGTAGTATTATACTAGCTGAGATGTTAATACTTAACTAATTTTGATAAATTAATAAAACTAGTTAAACTAATTGCTTGTAAAAAATATGTATTGATTTTTCTAAAATATCATCTTAAATCACTTGCATCGAAACTATTTCTTAATGTTTACTGCCATGTTTGAACTTGCATGTTAAGAGGTGAAAAACAAAATGCTTTGAACTTCAAGCCATGATGTGCAATCAATAGCAATAGTTTGAAAAAATAGTAAGTATAAAAGACAAAATTGATTGATATCTTATATTTAAGATCAGATTTAATTCCTAATTAGTTCTTATTTTAGGGATTAGTAATACTTGACGGGATGTTTTGTCCATCTTTAATTGGAATCCTAATTAGTCCTAGTTTATAATAGTGCAATTTCAATTTAGTGAGTGGTCTTGTTAAAAAGAGATGGTAATATTATATACTCTCTTCCGCCTTACAAATTTATAATTATGTTTCCAAATTCTTCTATTAAATACATTTATTAAAGGGAGTTTTCATTAATTAAGATAGTTTTCAATATAAATAATTGAAGAAAATATTTTAAAAAAATCACTACTTATTTATCATAAATAATTGACTTAATTAATTTTTTAATTTTTATAAATTAATCATCTAGTTTCTATATTTAAATTAGAGAAAATATAATTATACATGGGACTCATGCCACAAATAAAAACTGAGCAGGAGTTTGGTCAGAGGGACCCATGTTCCACAAAATAAACTTGCACGCGTCATCCTCTTTCTTGTTCGGAGAATTTTAGTTCTAAGTTCCATACACAGATTCATTGTATTTAAAAAGCTATTATTCTCTCCGGTCTCAAATATGAGAAGTGAATAATTAATTTATAAAAATAAAAAAATTATTTAGATTAATTATTTGTAAAAAAATATGTTGCTTTTCTAAAATGTAATTTTAATTGTTTAAGTTGAAAACTATCCATAGAAATCCTCATTTAATATGCAAAATAATAGAGTTCATGAAGAAAATTATAAATTTGAAAAATAAAATAGATCAGAGCCTTATGTTTAGAATCAAATAATTTTCTAATTATCTCTTTTATTCAGGATTGGAGAGAATGAATATTTTTTTTATTACTAACCACACAGACATGAATAACTA